TTAGAAGTACATGTTTTTGATTTACATTCGAACATCTCTTCATACATTGACATTCATGTAGCCTGAAATATGTTCAAATATTTTGCCCACTTTTAAAAAAAAATTAGTTGTGTTGTTTTTTGTAGCAAGAATCAAACTCAGGGCCCTGTGCTTACCAGGCAGGTGCTATGCCACTGAACTGAGCTACAGCCCTTCAGTGTAATATGACGTTTTAAACTTTTTTTTTGTATCGGGAATCGAACTCACAACCTCACACTTTAACTCTTTTGGGAAGGTTCCTTGGTTCCTAGAAGGGGAATAACGGAGTCACACAGAATTTCTATTTTTAAGTTTTTGAAGAATTTCCATGATTTCAGTACTAGTTGCACTAGTTTACCTTCCCACCAGCAATGTAAAAATATTCCTTTTGCCCCATAGCCTTGCTTGCATTTATTGATGATAGCCTTTCTTTCTGAAGCCGTAGCAAATGGTTAAGGGGGTAATTCTTTTGAGGGCTCATAAAGCAAAGAGAACCACAGTCCCAGGTGGGGCTTTTCCAAGGTGGCTGGCCTACAGTGTGTGATGCTGGGATTGACTGATGGTGCAATGCGAGGATCAAGGGTACTAAGATAAAAGTGAGTGCTACCCACTGTAAGTAGCCTACGTAAGGTACAGGGGATAGAAAGAGCTATAGTCATCCCTTGCTTTTGTTTTGCAACCTTCTGGTGGCCATAAACTGTTCCTCCACTGTGCCTGTCTGCTATGTCACTCTGCAAGACCTTGTCTATAAAAAAAAAAAGTCTTACTGCATTTGGCAATGTGGTCTGATGTACCTTTGTGGGCATGTTAGAAACAGAAGCTGATATTGGCAACAGTTTCGTTGGTCACTGCTCTTTGGCTTAAGAGTTCACTCATCTCTGCCCCCTGGATGTGCATGGCTTTGCAGTTTCTTATAATATTCTAAGGCAACCAATGCATTCTCATTTATCTATAATGTGGAAAGAGCAAAATTGTTTAGCCCACTGAACTACTGTGTAGCATAACAAGAATTTATCATGTTTTCCTGGGATTCACATACGGTTTGCATAGAACTTAGGTACTATTTTCAAAATTTTGTCATTCTCTACATGTGTCTATAGGTAATATATTTACATCCAAGTTTTACATACATATATATGTATTATGTATTTTACACACTTTAAAAAATAACATCACCTGCCACTGACAGGAGGTGTCCAAAATGAGCTCCCGGATGGGTCCAGCCAAGTACAGCATATGGACATTTTGGCTGGATTCACCCATGCGTCCATGACACTCAATGGTTATGTTGGGTGGGTCTTGGCTGCAACAGAACTGCATGCACATGAGACACAGTTTAAATGTAGAGTCTTAGAGCTAAAGGAACCCTTGGAGAAAGCTGGTGTTAAGCCCTCAGTGTAGAAAGGCAGGTGTGAACTCTCAAGGAAGCTCAGTGACTTGTCCAGTTACTAGCTGGTGAAGGAAGCAGCAGCGCCAATGTCTTGTTTGTGTGCCACTGTGCAGGCAGAAAAGGACTGTTTGTACGACATGCTGGGGGAAGCTGGAGGGGCGTGGAGGGCTCCGTTTCTTCACATTGAGCAATTCTAAAATGTGTAAATTAGAAACAAAAGGTAAACTATCAGAGAAGATAACATCAAATATTTTGAAAAGGCAGACTTTTAACTACGTATTTTATATCTGAAATTGCTACATACACTTTTGGCAGGGTCTCTGCAGTCCAGATGCCGACAAATTAGCGTGTCGGCTATAAAAGTTCTGACTACTGCCTGAAAGTGACTCCACCAGGAGCCCATGCTGCACCTGCACCTCCCACCTAGCCAGCAACGGTGGTTGTGTGCATAGCTACTTGGTAACTGGAACATAAACTCCTCCAGCTATGCCACAGCCTTTTGTTCACTGACAGTGAAGAGGTCTGCAGCAAGCCAGGTGCTAGGACACCTGCTTGGTCTTGCTCCGCCTTCCCAGGGAGAAGCAGCTGCATGCTGTTATTGCCACCAATGAAGACAAGAGTCACCAAGAACAGTTTGGTTCTGGTATTGAAAATATGGAGAGGTGAGCTGAAGGGCTAGGTATCTTTATGTGGATTTCAGACAGCTAAGACTTCGTTGGCCCAGGCTCTTTTGGTCTGCAGGGCAAGGGATCTATGCCAGTTTGCTTCAAGCTTTGCAGGCCACCCCCAACCTCAGCCTACTGACACCCTGAGGAGATGCAGTCTACCCCACGCTGTTTAGGCCTCCCCTCAAAGGAGCCAGGTGGTATGGGAGGCAATCAGTGCAAGCCTTGCATGCTCAAGACCCTGCCCAGCTGCCCCAGAGGCTGCGGGAACAGCCCTTTAAGGTACACCTGTGGCCCAGATACAGCAAGAACTGTTAAGGGTCCGAGAGCTAACCCATACTCTGCAAGCTAACTAATTGGCCTTCCTGGATGCTGGTAGTCTCCCGGGTCTGGGGCAAAGATTCTGTTACTTTGGGCACCCCAGGCAACATGAGTTTCAAATTCACATTTGCTCCACTTGCCCACCAAGTTCTCCCAAAAAATTATACTGAACAGGCCGAAGATGGCGCACAATATGATCTGTATCATAGCTAAGCAACACCAACCATAGGAAACAGTCAAACATACAGGAGCTACTGTGCTGTACTGCACAAGGAGATGATGAACTTCAGTCAGGGAGCACCTGACTGGCCAAGTAGTCACAAGATATGTAGACACCATGACAAATTGCTCAGTACACATCAATCTCCTGGTGGCACCTGGCCTGCAAACCCTGATTTTCAATATAAGGGGAAGGGAGTGCCTTGGGGAAAAAGAACTGATTCTACCAAGCTGACAACTTACACAAAAGCAAACACTACAGTCTTCCCGTGTCAGTGCCCAAGGACTAGCCATTCCTCAGGGTTGTCAACAGGGCCAGAGTGCAGCAACAGGGGAGCCTGAGGTCTGCTGGCCACATTCATTCCATATGATGCTTAACAAAACTATCCCTCACATTCTGACAACTGCCTGGGGTTTTCCACTTAACAATTTTAAAAAATTTTAGACCTGTTATTTTTAATGGGGTGACAAGTGGTAGCTAAAAAAGACAAGTTCTTTGATTCCATACAAGCTCAGCACAATTTAGATTTGCAGTAATAAAAATTAAAAAAGGAACTTGTTAGGTGAATACACTGTCAGCAGTTCCTGACCCTAAAAAGGTTCCAATTCCTATGGAAACAATTTACAGAGCACCAACAGGTGGTGGCACCAAAGTTATGGCATACTCAGCATGATGTCTTGGGACACTTAAGCTCAAGTTTCGGGGGGGGGGGGGCTCCATGGCAGAACTATTTGTCCTATGTATAAGTCATGAAGAAGAGTGTCATGATAAAAGCACAACAGTTAGACCCGACTCAAGGCCCAGCTCTTACTGTTGCTGTTACTGCAACTTCAAACAAATCATTTAACCATACTATACTCATTGGCAAATGGGATTTCAAGCATAACTGGAATTTGCTGAGCAAAGTAAGTGTTGGAGACCACTACGAAGCAGCTCTGAGCAGGATTTAAATTTTACTAATTGGCTATGTTTATCTGTGAGTCTGACATAGACCTAGGCCCCTTGCCTGGTGATGGGAGCCGATTCATAGTAAGTGAACCTCTGTGAATCACTGGTCCTGGTGAGGCCTGTAGTGGTCTGTGGGGCCAGAGACACCTCAAAGGGCACAATAGGGCTGCAGCTGCAGACACCTGGCTCCATCCCCAAATAACAAGATAGAGACTGTAACTGCAGAAATTACTCCTACAGTCTCACTTCTACCATGTCTTCATGATAAGACAGTGCTACTAAATTGACTTGATGCACTACTTGGAGACGTCCTTGAAGTGACTCCCAAGGTCCTGCTCATTGCCTGCACTTTCCTCAGTTTCCCCACCTCTTGTTGTTAGACCTCATAAATCAAGTGGGCGGTCCAGAGAAGCTTTTATCTTAGCCCTCGGAGTCACGAGCTTAATTAAAGGGTTTTGACCCTCCTGGAGCCCTAAAAAGTCATATAATATGTCTCTTCATTTAACCTCGCCATACACTCATTTGGGAAATCAGGGATCTAGGTCAGGACCCGGTAAGTAAGCTAATACATGTAATGTATCTATTTATCACAAGGCCTGGCAAAATAAGTTCTGAGTTAAGTAGCAGCTATTACTACTATAAATTATCTGGAACCACATGTATAAATGAATATGAGTATGACTCATTTCTACATTTTAAGTCAGATTCCTAAAACTTGGCAGCAAATTATAGTCCATGGCTTGGGGATCCAACCTGTATCTTAATTCTGCTCAGTATTTATAAAAATACAGTCTCAATAATGCCCATGGCATTAAAATAGTAATGACTACTATCCTGGGAAAATCAGGGTCAACACTTTGGTTAAGATTCTCCAGTCATTCCCTTATATTCTAGATGTCTATTTAGTTACACATGAGTACCTGTATAAAGTGATGCATAAATGCTTTATATCCTATTTTAAAAACTGCTTTACCATTAAATACTATCTAAAAATTTAATGTCACTTATTTTCCCCAAACTCATTTAGTCCTAAATAATCAGTCTAAAACATTCAGCACCTCACCTTTCTATTCTCATGTATTATCAAAGGTCACTATTAAAAAAAAGGATCAAAATCTGAAGTTTTTCTCCTTCCTCTAACCCTATTTTAACACAAACCCGTTTGTAATTCTGCTTCTCTAAAATAATCCTGGAATTGCTGTTACTGTGCGGAAGCACCTGCTCTCTCTCTTTAGGGGAAAAGCTGTCCTTGGACACTTGCAAACTGGGCCAACGCTACAGGATCAAAGTGGTGTTAGTCATGTGAAATTGTGAACATTTAGTCATACACTTAATAACCCATTACATAACACATGTTATTTCCTTCCGATACTCTGTTCAGCTTGTATTTCTTGACAATAGCCCTTACCCTCAGACTGACATATACACACACACTTAGTCATTGTGCACAGGCACTGATGGACATGTTTATTGAGCATCATGCTGCAGAGATTATACAAAATAAAGTGGACACGGTCTTGCACAAATGCTGTGTTTCAGTTAATTATGAAAGTTAGATTAACAAATTCTGTGAGTGTTTTTATAAATACTGATTTCTGAAAAATATTCTTAATAACTGTACTAAAAATCTTTAAAAAATACATGCTCATCAGAAGGACAAACTAAAGCCTATGTATTAAATCAGTGATACTTGTGAAAATTTAAATTAATTGGTTCGCCTCCTAATTCCTATTGTCAAGTCTTTGAAGTTCATTCACCAGTTCGCAGAATCTCGGGTTCCATTTTGATGGCTCTGTTTGGTACTGGGGGTTGAATCCAGGGCCTTTTTGAGATAGGGTCTTGTTGAGTCATTAAATTGTTGTCAGGCTGGGATCAAACATGCGATCTCTTGCCTGAGCCCCTCAGAGCGCTGGGATTCCAGCCTGTGCCCCATGCCAGCCTGAACTCAAGGTTTTTTAATTTTGCAACTTCCAGGGTTACTGGGAGGTAGAATTGTGAAAAAGGAAGTGGTTCCATTCTTTTTATGATAAACTGCCTTGGGTATTATTTCATAAACCCCCAAAACTATACTCTTTACAGAGTCAAAGGTTCATTTATTACCCATTATAGGAAATACTGAAGGTCTGTCTCATTGTCCCAGTCAAATGGGATGAAATTATCCTGCTGTCATTAACAGCAAATGCAATGATATACTGATTTTTTTAGTAGTTAGAAGGAAGATTTTATTACACAGAAAAATATACAACTGTGTTGGTAAAAGTGAAAAATTGAATAATGTGGACTATTTACTTTTACATTAGTCACATGGGGTTACTAGTTTAATCAATGTGTACAGAGAATCCTGACTTTAAATTTCATTGAGGTGGTTTAACTGCTCATCGCTATCCCCAAATGTCAAAGTGAAATGAATCTCAGCAAATTCTAGAAGACTGTTTTACTTCCTGTAGGGGCTGGGGATATAGCATGACAGCATAAGCACCTGCCTGGCAAGCACATGGTTGTGAGTTCGATTCTCAGTACCTCCCCCACAAAAAAAGAAAAACAGCAGGTCCTCCTGCCAGCCACGCAACCATTTGGGTCAGGAATTTAGTTCAGCGGCACAAGTGCCTACTTGGAACCACAAGGTCCTGAGTTTGATTCCTGTTACAAAAAAAAAAAAAAAGAAGTAATCTGTAAATAAGAACCAACTGTTAGGGCAAAAATAGTCTGCTAATCGTAAATATACCGAGCAATGCAAGCTTATGACTCAAAACCAGCTAGAGTCTTCCGCCTTGAGAGGGGATTCAGATAGCTGTGCTGGATGGCCGGTCTTCGCATCTCCACATGGTTTGCAGGCCAGTGGTTGCTCACCAGCCCATACAAGGGTCAGGGCAATCCCGAAGGTAAGCTTCAAAGTGATTTTTTGTAACATCCATCAAAGTTGTAAATACAGTTAGCTGAAAGAAAAGTTACTGTTAAAGATGTTTTACATTCCAAGATGTTCTGACACATTAGTTTATCTGTCCCTGAAAAAATCTGCTGCATAAAATTATTTAATATTAAATATATTAAAATTATATAATATAGTATAGTATATACTAATATTAATACCAATAAAACCATTATTCCAGGTCACGCATAACAACAGGCTAGGGAAGATCTCTAGTTGTTTACAAGAATTTATTCCCGAGCAGGACACTGCTTTTAAGATTCCCTTAGCCCTCCTCAATGTATACACACATAACAGTCACACAAAACCTAGTAACACACTAGGGCCATGGTATATGTAGGGTTCATTAAAGTGTTAGCACTCTGCAATAAGTAAGTGAGTTTTGGGTTGCCATCTGGGCACTCAGTCTCTAAAAGGTTCGCCCTCACTGCAGTAGGTGTGTAAACCACCTACCAGTGGCTACCCTTGTACTCAAAGCAATTCAGACGCAGCGGGGAACTGCGGGCACACAAATTACAAAGCACACATGCAAACTGACATGAGGGGGTTACGCAGACCATGTGGATCACCCCGCTGTGAGCTCACATGAGGTTGGTATGGGCAGAGCAAGCCGTACAGGTGGGTCAGTGAAGGCGAGCGTCTTTATGAAGGAGCCAGGTTTGATCTAAATACTTAAGGTATTTATTAAAAGAGGTATTTATTTTTTTCTGGCAGAGGCAATGGAGCCATGTTTAATTTAGGGAGGCAGAGGCATGGGGCCCAAGAAAAAGAAGAGACGGAACAAATGGGATAGCAGGGGAGTAACCTGGGACACACAAGAAAAGACTATGAGAAACAGGGTGACTTCACATTTCTCCATGACACTATGGGGAAAGGCTTTTTTAAAATGTGACGAAGCTCGGGGGAAACCTACTCTGTCAACTCAGAGCCCTGTCTGACTTCGTGCAGTACAGTTTGAGGTTACTGCCAGGCACAGGGAAGTCAGGAATGTGAGGCTAGACTTAATTCAAATGCCCTGTAAGTAAAGAAAGAAAAAATACCAACCGGACACAAAGCCTCAGTGATCAGCAAGTTTACTGCATTCTACAAGTTACACCTTTAGCCACACAAAAATATTTTTCAAAAGTAGCCTTAAACTGCATGTAACTTCATGCTTAAACTGATCCAAGACAAGCGACGTTAAAACACAGGACCAAATTCTTTCCCTAAAAGCATATATATAATATGTATTTTTAAAAGTACCTTGTTGAGAACAGGTTTTGTTGATAGAATATCATATAAGGTTGCGAATGAGAGATTCTAAAAACACAAAAAGAGTTCTGTTCAGTAAGTTAAATACAGATTTACGCACACAAATGGCTCATTAGAAACCCAAACATTCTTCAGTCAACCTGCCTAAAGGAATTTTTTGGAGTCACTGCTAGAAATAGATATAACAGTTTTAATATCTTCTTTCTCTTTCTCCCCTTTCTAAACTCTTACCTGTTTATTATTCACAGAACAGAATAGTACCCAATATTAAGAGTAAGAAAATGAAAGGACAGCAAAGTTTTGCTCTTTAAGTTAAAAGAAAAACTCAGTAAGGACTGTATAAAAGACACTGAGGGATAAGAAGTTTATCAATTTTTTGAAGGCCACAGAAAAATACCACAACTAAAATAATCCTTAATGGCATTTCCTTAATGGGATTATAGATTCTTTCTATATGAGACTATGCAAACGTACCTCTTGGGTTGTGCGTTTTAGACACGTCTGTGCAGGGGTTCTACGATCATCAATGAATAAGGGTTTTTTCCAATGGTCATAATTTGTTTGTACCAAGTACCATCTACCCTGCTTAGGATCAAGTCTAGATACAAAAAGAAAGATTCCCTCTTAGGCTTCATGCCTCAGACCTGGTCAGCCTGGATTTTAGTTTCCATTTACTTTGCTTTAACAATGTACTTACTCGTATATATCCAAAGAGTCTTTCCTTTCTCGAGTAATCACACACCCCTCCCCAGACTGGTTACCTCCCAGAATAAAGTATACTGGGGCCAGTAATTTGGTATTGGCCAATATATTCTTGGCATCTTCATAGCTGCATAGAAACATTAAAAAAAATTTTTGTTGTTTACTTGGAATGAAAATGTTTTAGTATTTTAAAAATTAAGGGAAAATACTATGACATGTTGTTTTAAAACAAGATGGTGAGCAATGATTCCCAGAGTAACAACACCCTGCCTGAGGTGGTGAAGCATTTGACACTGACCCGTTAAATTTAGAAGTTCTCTCTCAGCTAAAGGAGAACATAGTCACCTGCAGAAATTAGGCTCCACCTTTGCTGTCTGCACCTTTCATCCAACAAAGAAGGGGTAAAAACATTATAATTACAGTACATAAAACTTAGGGCACAGAGAGTAATCTTCATAAAAACTAGGGCTTTTAAAAACTGAAGTGGATATTAAAGAAACTACTAACTTATTCTTGGCAAGTATTAGAATCAGGCTCCATGCTCCCGTATCAATACTAAGTCATTTGGATGCAGTGTGGGCTGAAGGAAAAGCACCTCTCTGCACCACAGCAGAACGTGACTTCTAGGCTAATAGTTACCATTTAATGAAGATTTTACTATACCACTGTGTGTGGATCATTTTTCTGTATGCCAAAACATTCGTAGGTGTCCTTCACAGTACCACTGATATTTTTAATAATTTATTTCCTTACTATAAGGACATATAAAATATGAGTAATTACACTGCGCATGGTAGTGTATTAATGGAATTCAGCATTTAGAGGCTAAGGCAGGAAGATCACTACAAGGTTAAGTTCAAAGCCAACCTGAGCTATATGGTGAGACCCTGTCTCATAAACAATAACAACCTCCCCCCAAAAAACAAAGGTTCACCTAAAAAATTCTGCAATTGTTCCTCAGTGGATGTTACGCTGGGGCTTGGGTAAATTATTATTTTCATATAAGTCATTTAAACTAAATATTTGATAATAAAGCAACTATCACTTCACCTTGTACTATTTTCCAGAACTGATCTTGTGATAAACCCTATCCACATGGCATCTTTCTTTCCCAAAATCCATTCTAGGAGACCTAGAAAAGATCAAACACACATAGCACCACTGGATCTGGAAGAAGTCAGGCTACTCAATCAGAAGTATCATTCAATCCTCTGTGAAATTCCCATTACACTTCTGAGTACTACTTACCCAGATAACCACCATTCAAGCTGAAACGTTCATTCAGTGTAACACTAAATTTCCCCTAAAAACAAACCAAAAAACCAAATCACTGAGGTCAGATACCTCAACTATGTTTTTTAAGGCCCTATCTCTACATTCTAGTGATATACAAAGGCCTGTATTAGGAACACAGGGAATTAAAACAACATGACAGTATCACTTTTTTTTTTCTTTTTTGAGACAGGTCTTGCATTTAATTCAGGCTGGCCTTGAACTCACTATGTAGCCTAGGCTGGCCTTGAACTTGTGAGATCCTCCTACGTCAGCCTCCCAAATGCTGGGGGACAACAGGAGTGAACCACACCTGGCAGTCACTTTATATTAACATGGGTTTTATTTTCTTTTTTCAGTCAAAGCATTTTCACATGTAGTATATGAGATAAAGTTAGGTAAGCCATTATTGACTACATGTTTTGAACAGGAAATGGAAGACCAGAGCACAGAACGCATGCCTGATTAGTCTGAGTGAGCAGCAGACCTAGGTCACAACTCACGTTTGGCTCCTAATTTGGACACGGGTAGCCACATGCTTTTTATCCTAAAACACTCCTCAGAAAGTATTTCCTTTTTATTCTTCTGTTATGCAAGCTCATACCAATAAAAATGACAAGTTAAAGGAGATAGAAATGGGATTTTATAATCCTTTCTGGTCCTCATTTTTTTAGAGTCCACCCTTCACAGACAGGGAAACCAGGACACAACTCTACCTGTAAAATTAGGTAACAACAGTTTCCTTACTGGTTTGAATCCTGTTAACATGCCCACATAGCCAGCAAAGCTTGTAGCCTTGAAGACAGTTTTATTGTTTCTTTGGAAGTCCAGATTCACTGATAAAGGCTTTAGCTGCTCAGTTATGACCCAGGTATTATTATTTATGTTCCACCTACAAAAGACAAATGTTGGTGATAAAACTTAAAAACGAGGAAAATAACGATGAATATGAGAGCCAGACATTATAGTAAAGCTTTGCCCACCTGCCTACCAATCACCAAGCCTAAGAAGGCCTTTTTAATGAGGGCAGTTTTATCCCCTTCACCAGGACGTGGAAGTGAGGCTCGCACTGGAAATGAGGTAACTCTCCTAGAATCATACAGATTATATAACTAATGAGCCCCCACATTTCAATTTAGGTCCAGTTACAAAACTGTTGCTTTTTTCCGAAAGATCAAGATGACAGGTACAAAACAATGTTCCCTTTCCTTCTAAGCCACACAGGAAATACGCGTTTCTGCTCACAAGCTGCAGTGTCTAGGGCACAGCCTGCAGAGAGCTGACGAGTCTACCATCCTGTTTCAGCACTAAGCAATCCAACACACTTCACTTTCTGTCATATTCTGGGCATGACTTGGGACTTTTCGTCATGGTAATACAGTCTAATCTTTTTATGGAATAATATATACTATGTTCCTTGCTTACCCGAGAAATATTCCAAAATCCATGTTTCTAGCATGTAGTAGGTGACCTATGAGAAAGTAAGCAGAAGAGACATGTGGGAGAGGTTAAGATAGGCCATCTGATTCTAAATCACAGTCACATGCTTTATCATTGTTAACTTACAGTCACAATTATGTTACACAACAGAAGATAAGGACTAAGAAGGATCCTGATAGCATAAGCCTTAAAAGACCAAGCTTGTGTTACTGTCACAATGGCAAGACACCCCCCCACAAGGTCTGAAAGTACTGTGCAGGGTTTTAGATGAGATCACAATATGGTGACAAGGTGAATGGGCAATCTTTGGTCAAGTATGACAGTTTTATCAGGACACAGAGGTCTTAGCCCTAACTAATGTGACTTACCCAAGGCACCTCAAGAGTAAGGTATAGGCAGACTTTGTGCCAAGCACATAGGTGAAAAGTCATAGTAACTTTTCAGGGCAAACTGTTTTCTGCTATGTACTGTGGGGACCATCTATCAAAAATATGGGAAAGCGAGGCTGCTATACGTAGGGTCCCTTTGCTGGGAAATGCTAGGAAAATGTTTTCCCTGGACCTCCAGAAAACTCCTCGTTACATGTATGAAGATAATGAAGTACGTCCTGAGGAGACTCCTACCACCTCACACAGACGCAGAGGAGGAAACCACAAGAAAACAGGGAATATTTTAGTCTAGAAACACTTCTTCCATTTTTCTTCTTTGCATGTCTGAATTAAACGTTACTAGGTTTTAAAGTAAGGCTAGTTTTACTCTGGGAGGCTGAGGCAGAAGCTTTCCACTTGCAGCCCTGGCTGGATAACTTAGCAAGACCTTATCTTAAATAAAGACTAAGAAAGGGTGAGGGGTAGAGCTCAGTGGGAAGCACTCGGTTCAATCCCCAGGACCAAAAACAGGAACAACAATAATAAAAAGAAGTAAATAAAAAATAAGACTAATTTTCAGAGCACTTAGAAAAATGTACCAAGATACGTGACGATGTATGCCACGTACACAGAACTTACACAGCCAGCCTGGATTGTAAGGTTTGCATGCCACTGTTTAGAAGATCTTTCTTTCACACTGTACTTACTGTGCACTGGCCACCTTCCCTCAGCACACACTTACCTTTCTTGTCCTCAGTAATTATGGAGGTGCACATGGTAAACAATTCATAAAAAATATTGAATGCAATAATCTCTCCTATAAGAAAATGTAGGAAAAATTTTTGTTAACACACAGAACCATGACAGTACACAGAAAAAGCTCTTTTGTTTTGGTTTCAGGGCCGCTTTGGATCGAACTCAGACATGCCGTCCTAATGATACATTATACACCACAGGGCTACACACCCTCTCTGAATTTTAAGAAAACAAATCTGCAGGTGTGTGTGTCTCTATGGGTAACTGCCTCAGGACAATCTGAGTGTGCCAGGAAACATGACTTGTGGCAGTGTCTCTTACCTACCTGTGCCTGCTACAGTGAAGACAAAAACAAGTCTTCAAAAGGGAGCTGGAGTATCTGACAAGCTGGAATTGAATTTAGCATAATGTTTAAAGCTTTCACCAGCATCTTCCAGTGTAGATCTCTAGGGCGCTCAGACACTGTAACTTAATACGTCTCACCCTTCTCTGCATATTGAAAATGGATTTTGTCCATATTTTTAGATTGACTAACATTTCTATGGTGAGAAATGAGAGACAAGAATAGTAATAAAATTGGTTCAGAGCTTCCAAGAAAATCCACTGTAGAATATTTATTTTTGAATATCTTTTCCCAGTGATATGTATACAAGATCATTTAACAATGAATCCAAAGATATGGAAGCACACATTGTCTCTGTCCCATTTAATGTTAACAGGTTAAGCTTAACATGTTTTCCTCACCAACTCAATGTTTGTTTCTATTTAATATCAACTTTGATGAAACTTTATTATTATTGTGAATTTTCTATTAATCAGTTTTTCTCTAAAAGTAACTATACTTGATAATGATTTACTAGAATTTTTTCTTTCTTTCTTTCTCTTTTTCTCTCTTTCTCTTTTTTCTTTTCTTTCTTTCTTTCTTTTTGTGTGTGTGTGTGTGTTTTTGAGACAAAATGTATTTCAGGTTGGACTTGAGCTCACTTTGTAGCTAAAGGTGGCCTTGAACTTGCAACAATTCTCCTGCCTCAGCTTCCCGAGTAGAATTCTTTACATAATAAAGGAATTAAAGACTTGTTTTCTGTATAGAGTACAATTTTGTATTCCAGAATGTTATTTTTTAAATGTTAAAGCAACAAAAAGCCAGCTTCCTTTGTTGCTATCAAACACTCTCAATTGTCTCTTGTAGACACCTTTTCTTGTAAAACCAAGATACTACTAGCCACATAAAGTAATGACTAGTGCTTTTGCAGCTTAAAAATAAAACTTTTAGACTAGTGGTAAAGTCTTTTTCATTAAATGATATAAATTGGAAATAGAAACTTTAAAAAATAGCTCCCCAAAATACCACTATATAAAAGGATAATTTAATAAGTAGTATGTAAGACCTCTCCTCTAAAAATAAAAAAAAAACTAGTCAGGTGTGGTGGTGCATGCCTGTAACATCAATCCTTGGAGGTCTGAGGCAAGAAGGTCACTGTGAGCCACACAGTGAGTTCAAGGCTAGCCTGAAATACATTGCAAGACTCTTAAAAAAACAAAAATAAACAGACAAACAAACTCTGTGAAATCCATACCCTACATGTCAGGTTAAACCACGTTCATAGACTAGAAAACTCAGTACTGTATTATAATTCCATTCAAAATGTCAGAAGGCACTTTTGTCAAAGCTCACAGGTTGATTCTAAAATTCATATGCAAAGGCAAAGGTCTCTGTAATTAAGAGAAATATGATGAAAAACAGAGTTGGAAGAGTTACAGTGCTTATTTTTTAAAATTATGGTAAAACTATAGTAACGTGGTATTGATGTACGGAAAGCCAAATAGATAAATGAAATATTAATAGAATGCTTCCAAATAGCACTCGCTATGTACAGTCAACTGATTTATATGAAAAACAGCATTGTAATTTACTAACAGAAGGATAATTTTTAATAAATGATATTCAATCAACTGTAGCCTTCAGTTTAGCAAATTTCTTGAACAGACACTACTAATAAAAGAAGACTGAAAAATTAAGACATGATTAACATTAAGGTTTTCTGTTCATCAGAAAACATCAGTATAAGAATAAAAATGCAAACCACAGATCTGGAAAAAGGTATGTAGAATTGTGTATCTAGCAAGAACTTGTATCCAGAATACATAAAGAATTCTTTCAAACAAACACAAAATAAGTAAAAGATCTTATTGCCTACCCCCAGGGGTAAAAAAAAAAAACAAAAAAAACCAGACAACAGGAGAAGAAAAAAGGTTAATAACCTAAAAAAGTCAGTAATTTCATTACTCATCAAAGAAATGCAATTGAAACTATAATGGGTACTAATATTCTCAACAAAATGGCTCAAATACAAAACATCATCAAGCAGAGAAAAATTTAAAGTCTCATTTATGCTATCAATCAATGCAATAAGATTAGAACACTGTCATAGAATCTACATGGCCAAGTTCAAAGATACCCTATAACCCAACAGTTCACTTCCTAGGTATAAATCCAGAATCTATAAAGCTAGGCATACAACTACCCTATAACCCATCCTAAGCCTAAATCTCCAAGAGAAATGAATATATATTCATATTAAAAGATCTATACAACTGGCTGGATATGGTGGTGCATGTCTATAATCCCAGCACTAGGGAGGCTAAGACAGGAGGACAGCCTCAAGCTCAAGGCCTACGCTACGTGGTAAGTTTAAGACTAGCCTGAACTATACAGGGAGCCCTGTCTCAACACCACCCCACTCCCCTCAAAAAACAAACAAAACCATATGTACAACGTCCATAATTGTTTTATTCTTAATATTCAAAATCTGAAAGCCCAAATACTTTATTCATACAATAGTATAAAGAGGAGGCAAAATTACAGTGAAGCCAGAATAGCAGTTACCTGAGGAGGGGCATGATGGCACATCTAGAGTGCTAGAATTTTCTGTCTTGATATGGGTTGACTTAATGCATGGATACAATTTAGAAACTTTATTGAGCTGTACACTTAAGATCTGTGCATATTATGTACTCCATACCTCAATGTTAAAGTATGTTATTCAACGTTCAAAATATTGCAAAGTTCACTTTACCTAAAGGTATCTCAGTGATATCTGCAATTCCTTTCATTTCTTCTTCATAAGGACTAGAAAACTGACCAAGCAGATCAGGCTGAAAACAAACATAGTATTAACAATCATTTAACCCCAAAGCATGCTTTTACATATGGCATTCTGACATACAATTTGTTCCAAATACTGCTACGACAATAGATGATAAATGACTTTCAAAGTGTCTTATAATCACGAATTTCTAAAAGGTTCTATGTAACAGTTAGTACTGACTACCTATATATAGAAGTATGATTCTTCAACTGCTTTATTCTGCCTGGCTTTTCTCCTGTTCTCCACAGAATGATACCTAAATAACTCCACCCACACGACCTCACATGACCCATAATCCAAGAATGTTATAACAATCACTTCTTATATCTCTTTCATTCACCCTCTAGCCAAAAGCAATGAACCTGCACCATTCTGATTATTCACAAACCCTTCTGTCATGAACTGATAAACTTGATATGGCAATTTAAGTTCATAGCCTCTTACTAAGATAGTGTGCTTAAAGTTCACAAACTGTTGTTTCTCACCAACTGAATGATGAAACCTAACAAAACGTAATTGTTTCCCTATGAATTAGAAGCATGGCGTAAGTAAAATGTTCCAGGCAGTTTAACAAACAAATATGACTTAATTACAACATTTATCAAACATCTAGTCTCTGGTCCAGTGATTCTTGACCTAGAGAGATCTGGTAATGTCCTGTGACATTGGTCAGTTGCCACAACCCAGTGAGTATTACCAGCATCCAGTGGGTAGAGGCCAGGGATGCTGGTACACACCCTGCAGTCCACTGGACTGCCTCCGTGACAAACAATTATTCAACCCCAGGTGTCATGCCCTAGGACCTTGGGGTCTTCCCCCAACTCTCTGTACCTTGCAGTAAAGACAGAGAAGGTGACGAAGATCTCTTTGGAAGTTCTAGGGGCTGGATTCTAGGTGCTCAATTGGTTCCACCTAAATTTAAAAAGGGCTGAGAAATGGAATCTTCTTGTATGACCAGGAAGAAAATGAGATGGTTTTGGTGATTGTACAACCACAAGAAATAACTCAAATGAGTCTCAAGAATCACAGCTACTGTGGTACTCCACAGAATACAAAGCTGGGCTGAGTATATCATTTGGTCATAATCCTGAGAAATCTTTAGGTGTTCTGAGACTCTTGGATAAAGTACTTACGAAAAGCAAAATAAGTTATCTTATCTTATGTTACCTATTATTTATTAGAGCTGGGGATCAAATCAAGAGTCTCACGCATGCTAAACATGGCACTCTACCACTGAGCTCTACTCCCAGTAAAAGAAATTTTCATCAGTGAACTTAACAACCCTAAAAAGATATTCCATACTTCCAGGTAAAAAAATTTATATTGTCCACTGTTCTCAAGTCCATACTTAAGACCCTCAAAGAGCATTAAACTGACAAAATTTGCCATGCTTTATGATTTGTTACTCTAACATTACCACTTCCCAGAATTTAAGTCTCTCTGAAGTTTTACAGTGATCAGAATAAATGCAAATACACCTCAAATTCCTGATAAGAAGTCATTAAATTATACCTTTAAATAAATCTCCAGTACTCTGGAACTCTGTGTGTCTGTGTATTTAAAATTCACCATAGGAAATATTTCTTACCAACTTCTGATCCACCATCTGCATAACTTTTCCACTTGGTGCAAATGTATTTACCATATTCTTCATAGAATTCACTATAATCTTTAGCTGAAAAAAATAAATAAAACATGTAAATGACGTGGAACAATATTTAAGATTAATATAAATTAATGAAAACAGAAACTCATATATAGCCATATCAAAGAGAGTGCCATTAACATAATTTTATCCTTAATGGCATCTGCTTAATTTTGCAAATAAAAGAAGATGGCATACAAGGAAATAAACAGGTCAAGTCCATCAAAGAACATGATGTCACATAATATCTTTTCTTCCATTTACTATATGTTAGACAAGTATCAAAAGTATACTCTGAAACTACCTGGTGGTAATTTCATGAAGTACTTTTTTTTTTTTTAATGCAGTTACATTCAGTAAAGTCAGAAAGAGAAGACTGAAGAACTGTTGCATACCTACCATTGGCCCCTTGTCAGCCATTAATTCGTGCCATCTTTTGTAGGGTGGTAAATCAAGATTTATGGTGTACCATGGAATTGGTCCTCGGTAGCTGTAATCAGAGACGTGCTACATTGAAATGTTGAAAGTAGTTTTCTGAGGGGGCTAGAAGGCTGCATCTCTAAAGATACTTTTAGACATATTTGCTTAATAACAGCATACAGGTTGTTACAAAAACAGAATTTGCAAAGGATACCCAGTTTCCATCTAGTGCTTCTGCCCTCTGGTGGCACATACAATTGTAAGTAGTCTTAGAAATGTTGTAATATTTAGTGATACATGAAAGAACTACAGCTTAAAAGACTAACGACCACTAGTGGAGAACAACTCCCCCTTTTTTTCGTTTCTAAATATCTGCAAAGGTTTAGTTTAGGCATACACACTTCTCCAGCTGGTTGTGGAATCTCAGAATTCTTTCTCAGGCAGCCTAATGCTATTGCTAACTAATCTAAGCCTCAGAGTGGCAACAATAGCTTCCTGTGACCGGCTTCCAGAACCTCCACAACGCTCTTCTCCAAACTAACATTTCCTAGGATACACTTCTCTTCTTATTCCTCTGTGTTAAGCACCAGCCCAAGCACTATTCCGTCATATCCAGTCTCTAGTCTCCCACCGTAACTTACAGCAATTTCTATGCGAATACAACAATGTCCACTCCATTATAAATGGAGATGGGCTATATTTCTAGGTGGATGGACTACAAATATCCCCTTGAGAACATAATTTTCTGGCAATTTTACTAAACTGGAAAAGCTACTAACAGTGTGTCACTCAATGAGTTAATCAGCTTAAACTATGACTAAAAATAGATATTTGATCTACTACTGCTATGCTAGATACGGGTACAGTGCAGTCAGTCTCATGCGTGCTGCTCTCAAAATGTTGCCTAGACTTATGTCTACAGGAGGAGCAGATTATTTCCTACAGGTTATTTCTTGTGCTTCTTTGTATACCCCTTCTGTCTTGAGTATCCGGTTCACTAAATGGTACAGCTCAGCTTGGGCTCGGATATATATAAAATTTTATGGAACTATTAACCAGCAGCCTTCCATGATTTAGACAGGAAAGGGAAGTACATTTAATTTTTTAAACAAACACCTAAACAAAACCACAATGAATGAATTTTATTTTTCTCAAAGCATTTTCAAGTCCCTCAATTCCTTAGGAACTGATATTTCCTTTAAAAAAATCATAAAATATAGTAATCATAGAAATTAGTTTTTCTTTCTTTTTTTTTTGGTCTTTTTTGAGACTCGGTCTCTATGCAGCTCGGGCAGGCCTTGAGCTCACTGTGTAGCCCAGGCTGGTCTTGAGCTCACACCGATCCTCCTGCCTCAGCCGAGTGCTAGTATTACAGGCATGAGCCACCACGCCCGGCTGAAATTCGTTTTTCTTCATAACACATTAATTCCATTTTTGACTGACCATAATTTCACATGCAAAAACTTTATCTTACAGTTTGGTAAACTGTTATCCTTATTATGAGGACACATTACTAAACTACCTATCTTCACAAGCATGCATCTGGATTTCTGTGTCTAGTGGCATGGAAAACTAGCCTAGGGGAGCTGTGATGTTGGCTGCACTATCATAAGATATGTGTTCTAGATAAGAACTCGATCATGCTCCTTCCCTCTCTTAACAACAAAAAAAGCCAAGTCATGCTCCTATATCTGCCATCAATTTTTGATTCTTTTTTGATCTGGAGTTTTGGGTAGGCTCAAGAATTTTACAAAGGAAATGGAGAAGAAATGAACTCACTACAAAGGAAGATTACAATTTTGTGAGCATAGCGAGACTTGAAACCTTTATAATAAAACCTCCAATAATCAGAATGTTTTGAGAACCAGCTAATTTGATTAACAAAATTTTAACAACTAAAGTTCAATATAATCCCACATTTTGGTTCTCCTTAAGTATTTTCTTAAAATACCTCATTATTTAACACTCACACCTCAATTTCTTACAGGAAGACTATCTACCTTATGAGGGCAGTGAGGACTATATCAAATCTAATCAATTAATAGTAATCACCACATGTGGCCAGCTGCGGCCCTTCCAGGCGGAGAACCACCAGCGTCTCCTGAGATCCGCACCATGGTGGAACTTAGGACCCTGGAAAACCAAGCAACCAGCCTGCCTCCCTGCTAAGCAATAGTGAACCTACTGGTGCACGACCTAGAGTCACATATCCCACTTCCCCTACCCACTTTCCCTTGTCCCCCCGTTAGCAAATGGGAACCAGAGATCTGAGCATCTCTTTGGAGGTGGACCATAGCAAATAAGAGGGATTTCCTTCTACCATCTCTTTGAAGGCAAATATGTTTTATTACTGTTTTGCTTTATTCTGATTAATGGTACTGCTCTATTCAATATTCTGTTTTGATAAGTTCTATAATGTTCTGTATTTCATTTTATTTTGATATACATGATTGAAAGAACAACTATTGTAAAGATAACGAAATATACTGTGATACCTATTACTGTTAAAAAAATAGTAATCACCATAATATGTTTTCCTACTTACTGCAAATAATCATCTTAACTTAATCATTTTTGAGATTCAGCATTTGCTGTGTCTTGGCCATCATAATATCAGTCATATTGCTTGAATTCACATGGCTCCCCAGGTGGCTCGGAATCTAGGCTAAATGATACAACAAACACATGGACAAAGAGCAGCAGAGGCTGAGCACCCAGCGAGCAGCAGGAAAAAAATCGTCAGTGGATTCAGCTAGACACAAGCGTGATGGGTTCTGGTTCCTGGACGTCTGTACCGATGTGACTGGTCAGGCTGGGTGAACAGCAGGCTCTTTCCTCCCTCACAGGTGCCCACCCAAGCCACAAAAGTCTTTGCAATTGGCTGAAAAGGATGAACTACAGAAGCACAGGGACTGTCATTCACGTGCACATGTATGCCATTTTTCTCTTCCAGATCAAGACCCATTTATAATTAAGAGAAGAAAATAATTAGCACAGAGCTAAGGACTGTAGTATGGAAAACCAAGCCAGTCAGGGAGGAAGAAACCCAGAGAAATCTCACGGCAAGAAGAGAAAAAAACATGCACATTATATATATATACGTATTAATGTGCATGAGGTTAGATAGGTATGTCTATAAGTAATGTGGAGCCAATCCAATTTGCATTCAGGGATGGTTTAAAGTTTGCACAATAATCAGTGCACAAATACGTGTGAAATATACATAAAAGGGAGCAGAAAAAAGCCTTAAATGTGGAAAGTATTCATGAAAAGTTGAATGAACTGGGACAGGAAGCCCGGCCCAGAGTGGTAATCAACAGGCAGTGAAGGCCAGCATGGCAGGAATGGTGACAGAAAAAAACTTCGGAGAGCAGGTCACTAATGAGCAAGATGGCAGGTGTATTTTAGAGTGATATTGAAAATAATTACCTCTAAATATCTGCGTAAGATAGGTGAGTAAATCAGAAGAATTCGGGTTCTTACAGTTTTGCTCAACCAGTATCAACTGTTACTTAACACGCACTACTCATCACATTTTCTACTTCACTACCCGCAATCAATATCACTTAGTCTTTTCTGAGACTTAGCGTTATCTATGCTCATATCACCATATTATCAGCTATTCGGACTCTGGCAGGCCTGGAAATTAGTCCAACTGGCATAAGACACACATGCAGAAATGAGAGCAGAAGTCAGGCACCCAGTGAGCAGCAAAAATAATCCTTTGTGGGATTCAAATGGACACAAGGGTGATGTGACTGTCATTCTTGGTTCTGCAATGTTCCAGTGTCCCAAGAATACTGAGACAGAGGCTACTTGGGCTACATAAACAAGAAAAGAGCAGTATGATACATAATTTGGAATGTTACAAAATGTGAAGATGTCATCTTGATGTTTTGGTTAAAGCTGTACTCTGCCTCTCTGCTTTGTTTAACAGTCTTATTTTTAGCAATGTGGAAGAACTTGGGGAAAAAAGATGACCAATCCCTATACCCTTCCTTCCTTTCTGCCTTCTGTGCTCTCTGAACCTGGGAGGTGTGTCTTTCCTACTAGCCCATTTTACTAGTAGGATACAAAAACACCAAAATTTAGACTACAGATATTAGACATAGTGAAACACGGTACTGCAATTTCTCTTATGTTTTCCAAGACTGTTTTGTCCTCAACAGCTTTATCAAAACAAGGTTTATTTCTTAAATGTCACAATTATGAGATTTAATGCTTTCTGCTGCCATATAAATTGGTGGCTTATCCCCAGGCATCATAGAGAATCACAGTTCAGCTTGGACACAGACCTTGCATTTGTCATAGGGGAGACAAACGTAGACAGAAATGCTCTTCTGTTCTATGACTTTGACAGAACAGAAAAGGACATTTTAATTGTTTTTATATTTGTCCAAGATCTTGAACAAATACATAAGACACAAATCTAAGTAAACCCAACTTTATCTCAGGATAGGACGATGAAAACTTTTATTCACTATCATTGTATCTATGAGAACATCACTTTTTACACACAGGTCAGAGTGAGCTTTAATCATCTAAAGTTTACTCACGTTGGTCCAGATGGAGGATAAGTTGATTTTCTGCAGTCTTCTGTCCACTAAAAACACAAATGAAAAAAGATAAGTTTCAGAAAAATCACAAATGCTTACTAACTGAATATGTAATCTATAAAAATTACCACTTATGAAGATAAAAATTATCCTTTTAGACCATTTCAATACTTCTCAAAAGTCTCTGAGAAAACTTCTAAAATTTCAAATTGTTAAGGACTCAATTCAATATGTACAAGTGCCACGTGTTCTATTTTAGCTCTTATATTACAAATATACTCAGAAAACAAGGACGGCTCTATATGGAAAATGTTTCTATTAGATAATATGACTTATCATCCAAGTAAATGATCTGTAGCCAATTCTTCTGCCCCTCACCAGAGATCTGCATCTCAAACAGATTTTCAGGGCACGGGGTCCTTCACAGTCTGGTCATAACTTTCCACACTAGCCTCATCTCCTGACACTCTTCCTAAAGCAGACACCTCCAATGAACTCTCACCCTTGCGTGTCCATGCACATGCTATGTCTGGACTGTCCTTTTCCCAACTTGGTGAACTTCTAAGATGTCTGATATCTTTTCATTTTTGTGAAGTCTTCACCCTCTCCCCACATGGAAATATTTCACCCTTCCTCTGTACTCCCACAGCGTTTGTACACACCTCCATCACCATATTCATGCACTGCATTGTCACTGTTTGTGTCTCTCTTGCTAACACACCCTGCTCTAGGAGTAAGGGCAGCCCCACCAGTGAGGTCATCACTGCAGACCAAGTATGAATGAGACTGTTTTGAGGAGAACTGTTCAAGCTCAGTATCAAAATGGGATTTCCTACTAACACAAAATTATCAAGAGTCCACATATGATTCTTTTATTACTGGTTCAATATAGCAAGTATGCTTATTTTCTTTCCTCTAGGAACTCAATTTATATATATATTTTTTCTGATACTAAGGATTAAACCAGGGACTACTGCATTTCAGGCAGAGTCTCACTAAGTTATACAGACTAGTTTAGAATTTGTGATCCTTTCACTTTGATCTCCCACAAGAGCTGGGATTACACACCCAGAAAAATAACTTTTTAAAAGTATAAATCCAGCCAGATGTGGTGGGACACACCTATAATCCAATACTAACTCGGGGAGTCCGAGGCAGAAGGTTCACAAATCCAAGCCCAACTTGAGCAAATTAGTGGCTTAGTGAAACCTGGTCTCAAAGATTAAATAAAACAAAAGGGCTGGTGATGTAGCTCAGTGTAAAGGTCCTGGTACCTACCCAACCCCATAGTATAAACCTACAATAGAAGGGAGAATAGAGAAGAAATTTTGGAATTAAAGATTGGGCTCAGAAAATACATCTGCTGTACATTTGTGAAGGTCTGGAAACCGCAGATATCAACTTAATTTTTCATAGCATGGGGAGCACATAAAGCAACATGACATTACCCATAATGCAAACATTAACTGCTGTCAAAACGATCTTACCACAGTGTTAGCTTCTCACATGTAGACGCTGTCTTGTAATTTTGAGTTGAATTAATTAAGAAACATTAGGTTAGGGATTTAGCTCAGTGGCATAAGCACTTACCTGGCAAATGGGAGGTCATAAGTTTGATCCCCTGTATCCCCCCCAAAGAAAAAGAAAGAAAAGAAACAGTAGATGATCTGTAGCAAAAACTGATTTCTAAAGCCATTCAAATTCAATAGTAGTGGCTGAGAGGATCTTCTCATTCAAAAAATTTTTTTCAATCTCATCTCTGAACTCAGAAACTGTGAAAAATTTTACTGCTCTCAAGTCTTCTAACTGCTATCTTATGTGGGTGAAATCAGCTTTTGACAAATATTCACAGAAATGGTGACGATTAAGTCCACAATCAAATGATGTTCATGGTTTACGTTGCTATTTCAGCAAATGTTAGATTCAAATATTCTCTTCAAAGTTTGACAATGAACAATATGGTTTAAACAACCTGCACTTTCTTGTTTTGTAAATTTACTCAGCTCAGCTTTTTCCTGCTCATAGATATTTTCTAATGTCAGGTGTTGCATATCTTAGCAGATTATAACTTTTAAGTTATACTGAATTACTATTCTCTCAATTTCTTTGAAAAGTTATCATGAATTTTATGGATAATTCTTCATTCAAATTCAGCACTGGCCCTCATACAATGATTATCAATTATAGCTGATTATAGCTGATTATCAATAACTGTAAAAGCCAAGGAAAAATATTCAAAATCATTTGCTATTCTTTAATTGATATTGATGTTGCCTCCAAAGTTCTGGACAACTCTTCTACAGATATGTGGAACAATTTTCTCTGGACTCATTTCTTACACTGCTGCAATCAAACACCATCTTAATTAATGCTTTATTGATAGATGATTTTCTTTGCTTTGCGAAAAATGATTTTTTTTAAAAAACTGGGGATTGAACCAGGAGCCTCATGCATGCTAGGCAAGCACTTTACCACTGATCCCATATCACCAGGCATCTTTTATTTTGAGCCAGGGTCTTGTTAAATTGCTAAGTCTGAATTCCAACTTGCAACTCTTTTATTTCAGCTCTCCAAGTAGCTGGGAGTATAGGTATATTCCAGCCTGTATGGCTTCATCTGACTTTTTTTTTGGTGTTTTGATAGGAGGTTTTTTTTTTTTTTTTTTAGTACCAGGGATCGAAATCATGACCTCACACTTGCCAGGCAGGTGCATAATTATGCTGCTGAGCTAAATCCCAGGCCCCTTTGATAGGATTTTGACAAGGTAGTTCAGGCTGGCTTTGGACTTACTATGTAGCCCAGGTTAGCCTGAAATCTGTGGCAAGCCTCCTCCTTCAGCCTGCTGAATGCTGGAATTACAGGCACACCCAAGCCCAGCCAGTATTTATTTATAGGGGAGAGGTCTTGCATATTATTCACCAAATTACCCTTTAAGTACTGCTGTTTTTGAAAGCCATTTTTAAAGTTTCAATTTTCAGTTTATAACATTTAATGAAAAACTTTCCCACTACCCCAAAAGAATACATCAGAAGCCAGAAATTATACAGGATAGAATGTTGCAAGAGACATTATGGTAGCCACTGTTGATGCTCCTATTGTCTTCTTCTGAAGGCCTGTAATGTTTTTCATTTTTTTGTTTTGATCGGTTTTTCTGTTTTGTTTTAATTCATTGTGTGTGAAGACATGGACAACAATTTCAAAGAAAACAAGAGACATTGTGGCAGGCACTGCTGATGTCTTGTTTTGAAGTCCTGTGCTGCTTGCATTGTTTTGTTCTGATCTGCTTTGTTCGGTTCTGTTTTGTTTTGTTCTCTTTTAAAAAAAAGAAAAAAGAACAATGACAGCATGGGATTAGTTTTTTCTAATAAGAGGAAAAGAAAGAAAACAATTAGGAACACCAAGGACAAGGCTATGCAATAAGGCAGGACATAAACATGAAGCAAACTAAAATGTTGTACAAACATGATTGATTAAGGACATGTTTGAAAATTCTTAAAGGCGATAGAGTTTGGGCTTTACAATTACACAAAAATAAATGTAATCATAGAACCCTGAACAACAACCAATATTTACAATTTAATGTGGCTCACTGTTTTCATTTAAGGGAACATTTACACAGAGCATGAAAAAACTGAGTTATCGTTAAATTATCAACACCAACTAAGCAAAGTAAAAGCATCTAGAACTGGAGGAGGAGGAGAAAAAAGGCAAAGGGGCAATGATATTCTGGATATTCCAGGTATGACAATTAAACAAGAAAATGATATAAAAAAGCATCTAAACTGAACAAAAATAATACATAGTGCTATATGTAGAGAATCCTAAAAAATCTAGTAGAAATGCATTAGAACTAATAAATGTTAAGATTTCAGGATACAAGCTCAGTGTTAAAAAATCAACTGTACTTGTATACAATGACAATGAGCAATAGGAAATGAAATGAAGAAAACAATTCCACTTACAACAGCATCAAAAGGAATAAAACTTATAAGCAAATGCAACTGAAAAATGCAAAACTTGTACACCTACAACTGCAAAACACTATACAAAGAAAATTTAAGACTTAACCAGGCTTGGTGCAGCAGCCTGTAATCTCAACACTCACGAGGCCGAGGCAGAAGGATCACTGCGAGTGTCAGGCCGGCCTGTGATACATAGTGAGTTCAGGCCTAGCCAAAACTACACAGTGAGGCTGCCTCAAAAAAAAAAAGGAAAGCCATCCACGCTTATGAGCTGGAAGACTCACAACTGTCAAAATGGAAATATTCTTCAAATTAAGCTACAGATTTTCAACACTACTCTCGTGAAAACTGCCAGTTTCTTTGCAGAAGTCAGTTAGCTTCTGGAAAGTGAACTCGCAAAGTGAACAGGCAAACCAATCTCGAAAAAGAACAAAGTTGGAAGACTTACATTTCAGTTTGAAAACTTGTAATACTAGGTACACTAACTCTATTATAGTAAGGCTTACTGAAATAAGTAATTCTGCACTTAAATAAGAAAAGAAAGTGTAACAAAATTTACCACAACCACAGTAAGTCTTTACTAATATAGTCAAAACAGTGAGGTACCTACATCAGGACACAGCTATAGTGGAACAGAACTGAGAGTTTACAAAGAAACTCCTAGCCAGCTGCCTATTGTGAAAATGGTATGAGACTGAAACTATATAAAGTCCTACAACTCTCTAATACGGAGACAAATGACCAATTAAAAAATGAGTAGAAAGAATCTAAGTAGTATATCTTCTTCAAAGAAGACACAAAAACTATGATGAGATCTTAACTTATAGGATAAATATAATAACAAAGATACAACAATAAGTGTTGGTGAGGATGTGAAGAAACCAGATCACTTAGATTAGGCTGGCTTCTATATAAAACAGTCTGACACTTCTTCCAAGAGATGAGAGTTACTAATTCTGCTCCAAGGTATACGCCTGAGAGATAGGAAAACACTCACAAAAAAACCTTGTAAAAACATTCAAAGTAGCACTGTTCATCAAGCTCAAATGTGGAGACAACCCAAATGTTCACTAACATAGGATAAA